GTTAGGAGAAACGAAAAACAATAAGTAACCTACTAGCTCTTATTAACGATTTAGGTTAGGTAAAATGCAATTAAGGTTAGGAAAAACGAAAAACAAGAAATAACCTAATAGCTTCATCAAATCGAAATATTAATTAAATAACAAGTTGATATAAATTATCAACATATTTCCCAATCAACGTATAATCCCATATTTTTGTCCTTTTTTTTAGATTTTCTTCTCACAGAAATATTGTCGATTCGGTGTAAAATATTTCATATAAAAATCCTGAAAAATTCCATATTTCATAAAACCGATAGTGGTTTTAAATTCTTTCTGAAATTTCGTGCGTGATCGACGAGAATTAAACGTTCTTAAAACGTTGAACATTCGTTACCGTAACAATGTATAGAATACAATTTTATAGATTATTAAACATTGATATAAAAGTATATTGATCGCTCGATTAAATCGATTGCAGATATGTTCAGTTTCAATTTGTACGTGCAATTGCAATACAAAATTAAAAATTTCATTTATTTTTTCTTTTTTTGAGAAAATGTAACCTTTTTTTTGGTTTGTTTCAATTTAACAATTCACAACCTTTTATTTCGATACAAATAGTATAAAATTTGGTCTCTGTGTTTTATAATGCACTTACCACTTTTTTTTTCGTAACAGTGAGGGGTAGGTTAAGTGCCTGCTGATACATGGTGAGTGCAGTAATGGATCAAGGTATATGCAAGTTTGAACATTTTTAATTTTCAAATTTTTTATTAAGAACTTCGGAAATTTAAAGGTTTGATAGTTGAGAAAAGGTGGATATAAACTGAGGAATTTGCAAATTTAGAAATTCGAGAAGGTAGGAATTTTGGAACTTAATAAATGCAGAAATGTAGAAATATAGAAATTGAGAAATTTAGGAATTACAAGATTTAAAAATTTGAAAATTGCTGAACTCAGAAATTTCGATTTTTGGAAATTTAGAAATTCGAAAAATTAGAAATACGGAAATTTAATAATTCCAAATGTACTGATTTGGAAAATTTAGGAATTCGAAACTGTGGTAATTTAGAAATTAAAAAATTCTGCAATATAGAAATTTGGAAACTTAGGAATTGGGAAAATTAGAAATTCCGAAATGTAGTAATTCGGCAAATTAGAAATTCAGAAAATTGGAAATTCGGAAAATTGGAAATTCGAAAAATTAGAAATTCGGAAAGTTGGAAATTCGGAAAATTAGAAATTTGGAAAACTAGTAATTCAAAAATGAATTAATATGGAAAATTTATAAATTCAAAAACTCGTAAATATTAAAATTTAGAAATTCAAAAAATTAAAAATTCGAAAACTAAAATCCAAAAATTTAGAAATTCCAAAATTTGAAAATTTGAAGATCCTACAATCTAAAATTTTACAAATCCTAAAATATTCATCCAAAAATTATCATAACAACCCATAACTACACACAATCGTGTATAATTACACAGAACTCACCCATCACTGTTCTACACCTATTTCAAAAATGCAAATTTCAAGCTAAACAAAAATAGAAACAAAGTAGAAAACGTTCGACCGTCTTTAAGCTTCTAGAATTCGCAAATTTGCAAGATTTCTCATTAGAACGCACGTGTGAAGGGTGCAGAACGCAATCAACGTGTATTCAACGGAAAAAGAATGATGCTGAACCGTCTTTAGGTTCGTGAAATTTGCAAATTCGTTTGAGCATAAGCGATGCATAAATTTCACGCATTAACAATCGCGTTTCGAAGCTTAAACGTGCAACCAGGCAGAATTTCAAACGCAAAAGTCGGTCGAAGCTGGTAAAACGCGTTGGTATTCAGCGAACTGTCGTCAATTTTTAGGACGGAGTTCAAGTATCGGATCTCCTCGATAACGAAACCAAAAAATACACGGTGATCCATCAAAATTGGAACGAATCGTACCTCTTCTAATTGCAATTAAAAAGAAAACATGTAAAGTAAAATTGAAAACTGGGTTCAAAGAGAATCATACTTTTTTTTACCAAAGCATATTTTACTGACCTGATTTGGTATAAAAATAATAATTCAAACTTTTCGTTTAGTTGTATGATTTCTTAAATTTTTTTTATTTCGATAGATTTGGTTAAATGCGTTGAAGTATTTGAGTTATGTTGTCAATTTGTTAAATTGTTAAATAGTCAAATTGTTAAACAGTCAAACTGTCAAACTGTCAAACTGTCAAACTAGCAAACTGTCAAACTGTCAAACTGTTAAACTAGCAAACTGTCAAACTGTCAAACTGTCAAACTGTCAAACTGTCAAACTGCCAAACTGCCAAACTGCCAAACTAGCAAACTAGCAAACTGTCAAACTGTCAAACTGTCAAACTGTCAAACTGGCAAACTGTCAAATTGTCATATTGCTAAGTTATCAAATTATGCATCTGTCAAGTCGTCAAACTTTTAAATCGACAAATAGTCAAGTTGTTAAACTGTTAAATTGTCAAATTAGCTGTTGGTTATGAAATTGTGAATTTGTCAAATTGTCTAAATGTCAAAGTATCAAATTGTCAAACTGTCAAACTGTCAATTTGCTAAGTTATCAAATTGTACATCTGTCAAGTTATCAAACTCTCAAATCGACAAATTGTCAAGTTGTTAAATTGTCAAACTGTCTAGCTGTTAGTTATGAAATTATGAATTTGTTAAATTGTCCAAATGTCAAAATATCAAATTGTCAAACTATCAAACTGTGAAATTGCTAAGTTATCAAATTGTGCATCTGTCAAGTTGTCAAACTCTCAAATCCATAAATTGTCAAGTTGTTAAATTGTTAAATTGTCAGACTGTCAAGCTGTTAGTTATGCAATTGTGAATTTGTCAAATTGTCCAAATGTCAAAATATCAAATTGTCCAAATGTCAAAATATCAAATTGTCAAACTATCAAACTGTCAAATTGAATTATTACTTTGAATTATTTCAATTATACTGAACTGTTACTTTGCACGATTACAATGAATTATTTCGAGTATATTGAATTGTTGCTTTGTATTATTACAATGAATTAATTAAATTATATTGAATTATTACCTTGCCTTACTACAACAAAGTATTTCAATTATATTGAATTATTACATTCACTCATTACATTAAGTTATTTCAACGTAATCAGCAAAATTTCTCAAAATGAAAAACATGGAAAAATTTGCAAAGTTAAAAACAGTTTCGTATACTCCAGCGTATTTAATTAAAACGAACATGAAATTTAAATTAACGTTAGCTACACTTAAATTATATATACATTTTATAAATGTACGACGTAATTTGTTTATGGAAGTTCTGCAAATTATTATGAAATAATTTGATACTTCATTTTATAGCATGTTTTTAGCATTTTTACGAATTAATTTGCGAACAACTCAGAAGTTCAAAAAAATTTCAAGTTTTGCAGAAATGTAGTTCCGCGCTAATAACGGGACCATTTTTTGTTCCATTTGAATGAAATGGCTTTAGAGATAGGAACATCCCTTTATAAAAATTTGTAGGTTTTCATATTAATTTTCGTATGATGTGAACAAAATTGAATGCAGATTCATATGGCTTTTAATATAACTGATAAAAGATTTTCTCAATAAAATAACAAAAATTGACTAATAAGTAAATTTTGAAAATGTCTATCAAGTGTAAAACGATATTTTTTAAAAATATTTTTAGCTGGAATGTGGAACTTCAAAAATTGTATAATTTTATATTAGTTTAGAACTGGCAAATATGAACATATATGAATTATTTGAACACTTATTCAATATTTTAATTAATATTTTATTCGTTTATTCAGAATTCAAGCATCGATCCTTGTAAAAGAGTTGTGCAATTTTACAAATTAAAGTATACGTACGTTTTTTAAGGTATAAAGCAAATGTGTAAAAATTATATAGGTGTGCTGTTATATTGATTATAAAGAATTACAAATTTCCTTGTTATTATTTATAAGAGAAAATTAACCTGAGCACCCTATATAGAAAATATATAATATATGATAATTTGTATTAAATATATTATATCAAAAAACATATGTAATGTATGATAATCCTATAATCATCTATATAAGGTATATCATATAACATTTAATATCAGATATATTATATAATAATGTATATCAGGTATATCATACGACAATCTATATCAAATATACAATACACCTAATATAAATTATACAATTAAATACACCCAATATTGTTCCAAAATTTCTCGCTAAAAATTTAAATTCCCTTGAATTTTAATAATCAGGTAACTAAAATACCGAAAGGGCCAAAATTTAAATTTGCAACAAAAAAATGTGCGATAATATAAAAAACACATGCATCATTACTCGTGAAAAGAATATGATTACCTTCGAACCGTTTGTTCCCAATTTTTATAAAATCAACGTAAGAAACAAGGTGTGACTCGTTCCACTTGTTTGAACCACCCTACAAAGGAAAACTCTAGAAAGGTCGAAAATTGGCGGCATCGCCCAATTTTTTCCTAGCCATCAATCCTCCGTTCTTTCTTCGAATCGATGCAAAGCGATATTTTGTATGCCTTCGTATCGATAAACACACGCTTGTTATTTACAATCGAACGCGACCTTTTACAGGTTCGCTCAGATCGAATATTTCCTGTGTGTACGCAGCACAAATATGTTGTAAGAAGTTGAATGGGGGCTCGGTACTCGCATCGGATACGGATTTATGAGATATATATAATATATATATGTATATACAAAGCGAAAGACCCGACAGGAAGTGAAACAGAGAGAAATAGGGGATGGGGTGTAAGTTCCTTACGGTTACTAATGTGTTAGTGGTGTTGTTGAGACGCTCGTATCCGCTACGCTAAACGAAACTCGGTCTAGTCGAGCTTTGTTTCTTTTTTTTATTTCCGTGTGATATATATATACGTATGCGTGTAACACTGCGTGGAAATGAGAGAAATAGAACAAAGAAATAGAGACAGACGGTCACGTGTAGGTGGCAATTTATGAACTCGTTATACCGGCGTCTTTGGCAGTTTCCTGCGAGTCGGTGAAGAGGGCGTTTTATCCGTTTCCGCTTCTGGAAAAAAATAGTGCACATTCTTTCTAGATATTGTTGCAGCGAGATTATGTTATGGTGTACCTTTTTTCTACTGAAATAGGTAGTAAAATATTCGAAGAAAATTGGAATCTTTTAGGAAATTAAACACCCAGCGAGTGTTAGGTTAGGTTGACTATCTGTGTATTTCTGGGGATATTCAAATTTTGTTTGTGGATATTTTGATTGTTTGCATTCACTTGACTAATTGAGTTTGAATTAGATTAGTTAAACAATTTTATTGAATGTAATGTTGATCTGAATATATTTATGTTGTATTGTGAAATTTTATCAAAAGTTTATATCTTTATTTCAATTTTGTTTGAGCAGAATTGATATGGGGGTAAGGAAAATAATAATGTTCTCTTTTTAGAAACATATTTGGTTGAAATTATACTCATATTCAATCTTAATAACTTCCACTTGTTTTTCTTTAAATATATTGCCTTTAATTAGTAATACGAAATAATTAATAATATAATTAATATTGTAAATAATGTGAAAGTATTTAGTAATTAGCAGAATAAATAATAATATAAGAATTATTAACAATTGACGATATAAATAATCATATAACAATTTTTAGAAATCGACAATATATTAATAACAATTAGGATAATAATTATAAAATAATAGCAATTACAATAAAAATTTTAAAGCATCAGAAATGAATTTACTTTCTAAATAAAGTAATAAGAATTATGATATTAATATTCAAATTTAACAACATGTACAATAGTTCTGATAATTATAGTTTGAGTGAAAATTTAAAACGTAATAAAAATTAAAGAGAACCACAAATCTGAGTAGAAATATTGCCAAGAAAAATTGTTTTATTTATTTTAATATCAATGTCACTCAAATGAAATTGAAATAAATAATAGGACTATTGTAAGATTACACTAAATGAAAAATATTTACCTAACGCTTGCTGGGTCAATTAGAATTTCAACTTCCTAATTGAATATTTATCAAACGTATTTATCATTCATATAGCTGTTTGCATACCATTTCACTAATTAACTTGTTGCTCCTTCTTTAAAATATTCAGAATACAATCTGCCCAGGTTCTAATACGAGTTGCCATATTAGTACATATGTACATGTGCACGTAAATAAAATATATTACCTTTGTTGGTTTTTCTTTTTATTTTAAATAAATCTGTGGCAGGTTATTAAGTATTTTAAAGCAGAAATATAATATAAAATTGTACATTTCATTTTAGTTTTCGAAACTAAATACGACGAAGTGCTAACGTAGATTTCCCTAGGGAAAATGGCGATGTAAGAAAAGTAACACTATTCGTTATATTTGCAAGAATTTAAGTAATGTGTAAATAATTGAGTAAATGAATCGAAGAATGGTAAATCACAGAATCTTAGTTTTGAAGATATTAATTTAGAAAATGTTGTTATACAAAATACAGAAAACATTAACTAGAAAAAATTGAAACAATTAACGTTCTTTACAAAGCAATCATCAAAAAAATTAATACTGTGTATAACTATCAAGTATTATAAAATTTAATTAATAACTAAAAAATACTAATAATAAATATACCTAAATAATATTTCTTGGAACCTGTATAACGTGAATGGTGGAACCTATTTCCCTTAAATTGCTTTTTTTTTTTAAAAAAAATCTACCAATTTCTATATTACACAATTCTACTCTAACAGTACTACTATACATGTACGATATAGTAATTCACGATACAATAACTGTCCCACATTTCTTCCGATACCAAAAATTCGATCTGTATTCAAATTCACCTGACACTTTCCGATTGATATTAACAAACTACCGTAACTTTGATATCACTGCCATTGATAAAATCAGTGCAGGCAACTGAAATTTTTATCGAATATATGCTTTTGTAGATATCCTACTCGTTATCAGATGTATATAGTAAAAAAAATGTGGAAAAGGAATCAATCGTACTAGAACGTGAACAGACGATATCTGAAGTTTATAACAGCTTTTAACTTTTTCATGGATGACGAACAGAGTTTACGTAAATTAATGGTTACACGTGCAATTTTCACAAAAAATTTTGTTTTATAATTTTTTTCATTTGAACCTTGATAAACGAAATTTGAAGATACGAGTGGATAAAGATGTCATAAATTCTTAACTTAAAGATTTACAAATTTTTAATTGTTATTTTTATACACATTTCTTTTCAGTTAAAAAATAATCATTACATAGCTATAAAATTATACTGTTATTAAGAGTAATGATAACTCGAAAACATTTCTCTTCCTAAAATAAAAACTGTTACTATAAACCTTAAAAGCATACAAATATTAAAAGAAAATATTATAATTATTATTATAAAAATGAAAATAATTTTTTTTTAAATTATTGTAGAAAGAAAATATTATAATAATTGCACAAAATAATGAGATACTCGTGCATTATAAACACACCAAAAATATACTAAAAAAGCAGTTTTAAAACATGTTACATGACACCATTATCCATTCATATCATCAATTTGCGTTGACATGAACTTCTGTTCTACTTTTTAAATTAGCTGTCGAAGGTATTGTGAAAAATTACTACGCTCTGGTTTTTCTTTGTTGAGATAACAAGATAAACGTACTATTTAACCCTTGCATTGCAAAAAATGTACGTAGCTGGCTATTAATTACACATCCTCTGATAAATAATATAAAACTGCATATTGTCAAAGTGGAGCATAAAAGTTACATTAAAAATTGTTCATTTTTTATCAAAGGATTTGTATCGATTATCGGCTTTTTTAATACTTTGTCGGTTTTTTTGGGGCCGACTGCGATTTTATATCAACAGTTTTCATTATTAAAAGAAATGTTATGAAATTGTCAATATCGTTTTCTGACGTTACATCGAAAATTTATCTGAGTTTCTATGATAGATTAGTATACAAAATTTTTGTTATTGTTGAAGGATTAAGATTTCTTAGGAATCAACAAACGTCAATAAACCAACTTTAGCAAATGATACAGCAACCATAAATTCCCAGGGGCAGAGGTAAAAGCTGTATCGAGAACAGTTGATTAGCTATCAAGGGATCTCTATAAAACGATATTAAAATTAATTGTAGCTCGTAGGTGTAGAAACTTTTGACCTCACAAAGGTCATAAACTTCCGACAACAATAAAGAGAGGTTCGATAAGCACTTTCAAATTTGGGTTAGTTTCAACACATTTATATTTTAATAAATATAATTATAAGTACAATTCAATAATAGCTACGTTTTAAATTCGTAGAATCCAGTTTCAAATTTCTGAATGAGCACTTGTAAGATTCAAAAACTTTTAAACGAGTTAAAACTGTTGAAACTACATTCGATGTGAACTTTTCATAGCTGGATACTCTCTGATACTGGAAATCTCAATTCTAGGTAATTTAATAATAGATAGATACAGATGTCAACCCACGAGTTGGCGCGTGACTTAAAGTAAAAGAAGTGATCCACCGTGAACATTACAGTTATATTTCAAAGAAGAACGAAATCTTACTTTCACCACTTTCACTGTCGATAACTTAGATTGTTTATAAAATATTAACATAGCGTTGCATTGTCTTTTTCTTCGTAGGTAGAAACAGCGATAAATTACAAGAATGCATTGCATCCGAAGATTATAACTCACTATAAGTATTCCATTAACGAATGTCAAGTCTGCGAATGAATTACTCGGAACACTAGAAACTAGCGTGACTTTCAAAACGGTAGAAATTGATTAAAAAGTTTGTTGATACATTATTCTATAGTATGTTGAAACAACCAGTGGAACCGAAAACAGTTTTAAC